CTGCTGTGGGAAAGTGCATGACCCCTTTATGTAAAGCTCTTCAAACAAATGCATGTCAGCAGCTTTGACAGATGTGTGTTAATGCATTTTAGACGTTTTCCCAAGTGCACAACTCACATTTTTTAAAAGTGAAATCTGGCTTTTATTTCCATTTTGCAAGTGAGTGTCTGTTAAACTTAAAATGTTTTTTTTCTTTAGCTATTTGTTGGTTGTAAAAGTTACCTTTAAAATTTGGGTTACGCTTTATTATAGTGTAAATGTACTGAGCAACATTAATTAACTACATGTACAGTACTTACTATATGGTTAGGGTTAGGATGAGGGTTTGGCTTAGGGTTAGTTGCATGTAATTATGCATAATTTATTGTTATTATAATAGTAAGTACATGTAAAATTTGTAAGGACACCGTAAAATAAAGTGTTACCAAAATTCCGCATATGACACAAATATCTGTATGTGAGAAGTAACTGTAAAGAGATTACAACATGTAGTGGGATATAAATGTAAGACGTCTCTGACATTTTAAGATTCTGACATCTCATCCTCACAGAAGGAGAACAAAAGATCATAAAGATTTGATATGTTTCCTACTGTAAAGCATGTGCATTTTACTGGAGTAATGAAACATGTTGATCTAGGACACTAGGGATTCACTTTCTGCTTTGAAAACTCTCAGTCACTCTACACTCTACACACATACACACATACACACACACACACACACACACACTCACACACACACACACACACACACACTCACACACACACACACACAGACACAGTGTGTTTGGAGGGGCGTGGGGTGTGTCACTACTTCCACTAATGATAATTTCTCATCATACAGGTTTGGATAAAAAGAGTTTTCACTCTTGGGTAAACTATACCTTAAATTAAGCCATTAATTAATTTACCTTTTAATTTTAAATTACCTTTAGTGTGTTTGCAGAGGCGTGAGGTTTGTTTCGTTGTGTGTCTGTAGCCGAGTGGCAGATGTAGGTCTGTGTGTCCTCAGAGACGTGTGTATCTGCCACAACCGATATCACATCAGTCACAGCAGACATGAACTGGATTCTGGGGCGTTGCTATGCGGTTGCTAGGGTGTTTGCAGCTGTTTTCTTCCTGTCTGGTGTGAATAGTGTCTCTGTGATCTTCTGGTCTGTAGATGTGTGATTTTTCAGCTGTTTTATGGTTCAGCAGCACACTCTCCTCAACAACACACATGATTTGATAGACACGCATCTGGTGTTGTACTGTTTTGAGCTCATTACCGTGTGTGTGTGTGTGTGTGTGAGTGTACCTACTTAACCATATTTTGGGGACAAATTTGTACCCAAAATTGAGTTAAACCTGACAAAATCTCCAAAAACCTCCCTTTGGGGACGTCCTCATTTGCAAAACTGGTATAAAAATAAAGTAAACAAACATTTTTTTTTTATTGTGTGTGTGTGTGTGAGAGAGAGAGAGTGTGTGTGTGTGTGTGTGTGTGTGTGTGAGTGAGTGAGTGTGTGTGTGAGTGTGTGTGTGTGTGTGTGAGAGAGAGAGTTTGTGTGTGTGTGTGTGTGTCAATCAGTGATTGCACTCATATGAAGAGGTTTATGTGCATTTGATTGACATTTAATGTTGTTATTATTATTGTTTATTAATTAGCAATGTAGACAAAATTTGTTTAAATATCCAATAACCGAGAGCCTCTGCGAACAGTTTGTTGCTTCTGCTGGTTTAAAACACTCAGATAGATTCTTCTCTTCTCAAGCTTTTTTGTGACTTTTAGTGACGTGACGTGTGGCCAGGTATGGTGACCCATACTTGGAATTAGTGCTCTGCATTTAACCCATCCAAAGTGCACACACACAGCAGTGAACACACACACACCGTGAACACACACCGGGAGCAGCTGGGGGTTCGGTGCCTTGCTCAAGGGCACCTCAGTCGTGGTATTGAAGGAG